TTAAATTGAAAACTCAAGTTTAAATACTGAAACCATGCAGAGGAAAAATGGCAGTATTTAAAACACTTACAGATGACTTAACTGAAATGTTCCACGCGATTTGTTTCACGGCTACTTATATAGTTTAACTGATAAGGATTCTGGTGAAGAATTAAATTGAAATTTGATTAAATCCAAAATCCTGATGGGGAGGTAAATATTTCTCAGACTTACTAGTAGCCAATGCAAAATCTTTATTATAGTCAAGTACAGCTTTTTTCTTAACTAAGATTATGGTCCTCAAAATCTGGTGATAAACCTCTCACCACTTTAGGGGATTCTGTTATTTAGAAGACTTTCTCCCAGTCCCGTTAGATAGTGTCCCTCTGTGTAGCCCTGGCTGTCCTAGAACTCAGCACTTGTGTCTACTTCTCATTTCTCCTACCCAGACGAACACTAAAACATGCCAAAATTTCCACTAACATATTTTCTCCATTGAAGGCAATGATCTGCTGTGGTACACTTTAAGGCGCCCAGGCTAGGGGATAGAAGTCTGTACTTGACCTCATCATTTTTGTCTAGACGCCAATTATCCTTACCAAGATGTCAGTGGCTCACCCCATAGCTCTCCTCATAACCTGGAAGCTACGGTTCAGTAACCTGTGTGTCACACAGTCAGTACTGAACTATGACACACGGGTCATCTCTGCTGCTGGAGAGCTCACCACACCCATAGCTACAGCAGTGAACTGTGAAAGGTGAATAATTACAGCATATCTTCTTACAGACTTGGAAGTACTATAGGCTTCCTTGTCACACCACATTCTCTTTTCTTTTCCCTCTGACAGACCAAAGCTGGTGAACCCAATTACTCATGTACACGTACTAGTTTTTTTTTTTTTAAACATACCTGGGGAATTTACAGTGAACAAAACAGATGAGACCTTTGCGCTAGAAAGTGTAGAATCTGACAGATAGAAACTACAATACTTAGCTTTTTACAAGTCACACAGACCAGGCTGGGCGTGTCACTCTGCAGGAGAGCACTAGAGAAAGTCCCCTGAACAACTCCTCATCCAGCTCGAAGCTCTCATCTTCTGGATCCAACCCACCCAAAAGTCTACTCACCTCAGAGCTTTCTGATTCTGCTTCCTCAGCAAAAGAAACCTAACAGGAAAGTTAAAGATTTGTTTTGTGAAACTCCTAGGCCCATTGACAATCAAGTTAGACCTGGAATTCTCCTTTGATGATAGCCAAAGTTAATTTGGTGGGGTAGAAGTGGCAGGACAGGGTCTTGCTATGTAGCTCTGCCTGGCCTGGAACTCAATATGTAAACCAGGCTGCTCTTAAACTCACAGAGGTCAGCCTGCCCCTGCCTCCCAAGCACTGGGGTTTTGTAATGTTTCAAGACAGGATTTCACTTTGCACTCAATGGTGGCCTCAAACTCACAGCAATCTTCTTGAGTCAGAGTCTCTGGAATGACAGGATTACGGATGTGTATCTCCATGCCCAGCTCCAGAATGCACTTCAGACACCTGCTGCTCCAGGCTAACACCTCAGCCACTACTCCCCTTTCCCTCCCCCCAACATCTACTTTCCCTGTCCCCAGATCTCACACAAAGCTTCCCCCACACACAAAGGCTTTATGCAAGCTCTTTTCCTTTCTCTCCCCTTTTCAGGCCTGTCTTGGCAATGCCTACCCAACATACACAACAACATGTTAATCATCCAGGTAGCTCCTCACAGGCTTGATTCTGGGCTGCACTTCCTTTCACTTCCCTTCCTCTCACTCTACCGTCAGGGATTTGAAACTGTTCCTTCTCAGGCCTCTAACATTCCACTATCTCACTAGTATTGTTGTCATTAAAGGAACAACTAATATTTATCCAGCACTTGGGCTGCACCACAGACTATGTCAAGGGCATTACATGCATAATTTCACTTGCTCCTCAAACCTTACTAAACAGGTACTGTGACTATTTCCTTCACGGTAAGGAATCAAAACCCAGATGGAATAGTAATTCTAAAGTCAACTGCAAGAACCTGATCCTCTTCTGCCTCCAGGAGCAGCTTACCTTGTCCACACCCATGCCCCCAATCAAAAAAAAAAAAAAGCAGGAACCACAGGGTAGTGGCACACACCTTTTATTCTAGCTACCCAGGAAGCAGAGGCAGGCAGATCTCTGTCTGTTCTACATAGGTGAGTTCCCGGGCAACTACACAGAGAAACTCAGTCTCAAAAACAAACAAAAAAACCAGGAGTCATCTTTAATTTTTGCTATCTAGTCATTCACCTAGTAGCCTGTACCTCCTGAACGCCACCCCAGCTTTCTTCAGGCTGACAACCGGCATCGGCTGAGTTCTTACTGAGCACCAAACCCTAATCTAAGCCATAGACACATTTGCTTTTATTTTTACAAGTTCCCAATCCCTACCAGCAAAGATGCTAAAGCACAAAGAGGCAGGAGACTACACAGTAACGCCCCCTCCCATTTTGTCTCTCACATCTCATCTGGACCACCACCATCCTCCAGCCCCGCTGCAGTTATCTTTATGGAAAGCAAATCTTACATCATTTTCCTGCTTGAAATTAACACCTCAGTATCATGGACTGGATGAAGTCCAAATGCCTTAATGTGATATGTGTCCCCTGTAGAAAGTGCCATGAACCCCAAGATCAACAATAAACCAGCCCTGGCCATTACTTCAACCCCATTGTGCCCTTCAGACTAGCCATGTGCACAGCAGATAATGTCACATTCTATAGACATAAGCATTTAGAATGTTCCTGAAGAAAGCCCATACCAATTTGAAGACTGCCTATGGTTTCTCTGATGCATTCTAGGCAGAAGTACTTTGAAGTTCCCACATCACTTTGTTCAAAATACCCTGAGGTAATCAGATGACCAAGTAGTATATTAACCCTTAGCAACTTTGGGCAAGGAATGATCGGATCCTTTCCACCAATGCCCGGGCATGCTGTAGACACCGAATGTATATCCAATGAAAAGGTTCAGACTTGAAGATTAGAGGAACAAAATACAGAATTAGAGTTTGAGCAATGGTCTGAAAACAAAGCAATGTGATTCTAGTACTATTCTGACTTGGCCTACATTTGACCCTTATGGGAAAACTCACGTGGAATTTGGACAGGCTAAAATGGCAAAACCTTGTTAGTTCTGGCTCAACAACGATCCAACAGCCAACTAGGGCACTAGATTCCCCCACCTTGCTTCTTTACCTGCCAAAGTCCTTTTGTCCAAAGGTGTGGGGGAGGGTGTTCAAATCTATCAAAGCAAACAGAACTGACCTACTGAGATCCAGCTTCATCTGTGCTGTGTCACTGTACTGGCTAGAGAAAAAGCAAAATGTGTCCTGGGAAGGAGGCCAACTTCTAAGTACTGGGACTACAAGAATGTGACATTCTTAAAGTGAAGGCAGTTTGGATCAACTGAAGCTCACAAATTCCTCCAACTGTTCTTGCCATTGGCTTCTGTGTTTGTAAAAAGAAAAATTGGCGGGGTGTGGGGGCGCACGTCTTTCTAACCCCAAAGCACTCATGAGGTAGACGGAGGCCAGACAGGGCTCTACAGCGAAAAAAGAAAAATTGATTCGTAAAGTCATGCGGAAGCGTCCTTAGGTTTCTGGCAAACACACAATCTTAAATGTAAACGGGAATACTCTAATATTCCATTTAAAAGTCCTTGTGTGAAACGTGGCAGAAAGCTTTGAAAAGCCAGCAATGTTTCCCAAGCGGTGCTTTTGTGCGCAAATGCTTCCAAACCGAGATGCATATTTTGGAAATGATCCTCCCCTTCCCCCAAACACGTCAAATCTGTCTCTAGCCTGAAGGGAAAGGTGAGAATTCTCCCGCAACAGGCTGGGGCGGGGAGGAGGATCTCTGCTCATCCCTTCCAGGGAACAAAACCAGAGGGCAGCAAGCTAGCGTCGCTTTGGCTCCCGAAAACGTGCACACGCCAAGTGCAAGAACTCGTCCCCGAAGCTCCCTGTTTTAAAAAGCGAGCGTCTCTCAGACCCACAGTGCGGCGCCTGGAACCCGCACCCGCACCGGGCCGGGCCGGACTCCACGCGGTCCCCGGCGGTTCCCCCTGTCCCGAAGACACACCCTGTCACCGCCCGCACCTGAGGCGAAGTAACTCACTCAGGGAAAGCGGCGGGCTCCCGCAGGAGCGCTGACGAGGACGCCGCCCGGCCCGATTTCCTGGCGAGAAGCAAAGTCCGGCCAAGACTTCACTTCTCAACCGCCCCTGCTGCCTTTCCCCTCGGGGGCGAGCGCAGGAGCCCAACCCGACACGCACCTGAGCCAATCAGCGGAGGAGAAAGGCGGGACTAAGAGCGGGCTCTGAGCCTCTCGACCAATCAAGGAGCTCGAGGGGCCAGACCGGCCCTGCTCATCACTCCCGAGTTAGAGTGAGCACGCTCCGCCCTCCGCCATCGCTCCCGGCCGGATTCTCCCTTCAGACACACACACAGAAGGCGCTCGGGAAGTGTTTGCGTGCACCCCGGAGCGCCGCGCCGGACTTGGGACAGCTGAAGGGAGGGGAGGGCTGCGGGACCAGGCTAAGGGAGAACAGGTGGTGCGGGGTGGCTGACGTGTAGGTGTGCGCGAGAGGACAGCTGGGGTAGGGCGGGGACCCAGCCTGGCCAGGGTCAGGTGGGAGCTGGGAGGATGCACCTGAGGAGAAGAGAAGGGCGGTTCCTTGGGATCAAAGGCCAAAGGAACCGCAGGTCGTCCGCAAAGGGTAAACCCGAGCTCCTGGGGAAGGACGACGGTACTCCAAACTCATACTTCTCTCCCAAAAGAAAGACTAACGCTGCCCTTGCACCTGATGGAGATGTGCACTTGCACCCCAGGGAGGAAAATGTCCCCCTAAACCACAGTATGGTCAGGATAGTCATCTTCGCACACGAGTCTCTCTGCTTTTAGAAGGTTACAAGGTGCCCTACGATAGACTCCAAAGGACTCCAATCCGGGGTTAAAGCCAGCCCGGGGGCAGTCCCGTCCCTGGAGGGGCTAGCAGATCAGAGGTTCAACTCCGACCCTAAACAGCAGGTGTCTGAGGTCGACAGGCGAGGGGACGGCTCTCCGCCAGCACACGGGGACAGCTTGAGCCGCCTTGCTTCCGCAGTTCCAGGTGAGCGGTCCGGCTCGCACAGGGGCGTGGCAGGGGGCGTGTTCTGCATTCGCCCCGCCCCTCAGCCGGGCCCTGCCGCGCCGCTGCGGCTCCGCCCTCCTCCTTCCGTCACCGCTTCTTCCGTCGGTGGTTTCTTCCTTCCTGCTTCGCCCGCATCTTTCGCGATATGGGGGAGAGCGTTCTTTTCGGCAGCACCACCTGAGGATTTTCTGGAGCCGCCCCTCGCGATGGAAGAGGATCAGGAGCTGGAGAGGTAAGGTTGGAGGGGAAGAGTGGAGCGGGGCTGCGGGCCGGACCAGAGAAGCGGGTAGCGACCGGGCACGCGGCCGACTGCTGCCCAGCGGGGCGGCTAGGCCTGACCCGAGGCGCTGAGGAAGGGACAGCGAGTTGAGCCGGTCGGGTTGGGAAGAGGGAGGAGAAGCTGTGGGTTTGTTTATACAGAAGAGCTCAGAGGGACTCTAGCCATCATGGAAGGGAGAAAAGTTGGGAATCCAGCTCTAAGTGCCAAACTGCCACCCCCATTAGAACTGCCTCGTGTAAGGTCGCGCACCAGGCGGTGCTGGCATGTTAAGTCGGCTAAAGTTACTGCAACTCCTTTGTGTGCAGAATGCTCGTAAATTTTCTCTGTCCGCCAAAATTGTTCTTCCTTTTAAACTTTTCACTTCCTTTGACTTACTAGTTTACTTACCTCTTTCAAAGGGAAGCCATAACTGAGCCTACCACCTTGATAACTAGTAGTTGCCATTTTTATGCTAAAGTAATCGTGTTTTTTATGCCTGTCAACTCCCTTTTCATCTTCCAGCAGGGCCTACCCTATTGTAACTGCCCCTTTTTCTCTATTCAAAGAAAGACTTTGCAAACATTTAATTTTGTGGATTTTTCTGAGATGACTCCCCTTGTGGGCAATATGCATTGTCAAATGGAGTAGAGAGAAACTCGATTTAAATATTTATTTATGGATAGAAGTTTCGGAGGCAGGAAAATGAGGTGGTGAATCTTAAAAAGCTAATCACAAAACGGTATTCCATATGATCTCATTCTTACAAAAAAAATATGTGTGTAGAAAAATGTCAGGATTGAAGACCTCAGTGGCTGAAGGCGAGAGGAAGACAGCCTTGGAAATGGTCCAGGCAGCTGGAACAGATAGACAGTGTGTGACATTTGTACTGCACGAGGAGGACCATACCCTAGGAAATTCTCTGCGGTACATGATCATGAAGAACCCGGAAGTGGAATTTTGTGGTTACACTACGACCCATCCTTCAGAAAGCAAAATTAATTTTCGAATTCAGACACGGGGTAACCTTCCAGCTGTTGAACTGTTTCAGAAAGGCCTGAATGAGCTCATGAATGTCTGCCAGCATGTGCTTGACAAGTTTGAGGCCAGCATAAAGGAGTATAAAGATCAAAAGGCAAGCAGAAACGAACCCACTTTCTAGTCCCTCGTGCAGAGTACACGGAGGACCACCCTCATGATGGTGCAGAACCCAGAACTAGAGTTTGTGATTGCAGCATGTTCTGTCTTGTAGAAAGGTGTGGTTCCAGCTGTTGACCCATTACAGCTGTTGAAGTCTCTGCAAGTATATTTGCCTAATAAATTCTCTCTTTTGTTTAAACTAGTTTGAGTGGTTTCTCTTCCTTGAACCTAGGTGATCCCCAAGGATGGTGCCACCCCTTACTTGAACCCACACAGAAAGTGAACAAACAGATAATTGGGCCATGTTGAGGGTTTTGATCATGGATATTAAAAGGGCTATTCATTTCTATATGATTGGAGTGCTGAGGAATGGGAGATGGAGTAGATCATAATCCATAGACTGTAGTTAAAAAGGCAGGAAAGAAGATTGGCAGAGGGACTCACCCACCCACCTCCACCACCACCCCATCCCCCTCACTTAATGTGCATATACAAGCATTCCATGACACACATGGAAGTCAGGAGACAACTTGGAGTTGATTCTCTACACCATATGGGATCCATTTAGAGTTTGTCAGGCTTGGTGGCAACCGTCCTTACCCACTGAGCCATCTTGTCAGCCTGATTTTTATTAATGTAAATGCATCCTTTCATATTATTGGTAGACTGAGTAAGGGTGAGGCTAATTTGAAGGACCCTTGAGAATTTTAACTTTTCATGGGAATTTTTTATTTTTGCTTTCTTCATGAGAATTTGAATTGGTATCAAGTTCCATCTTTGTAGCATTTGTAGGATAGATACCAGTTTACTGCTAGAGTTCCGGAGCACTCATGAAATATAGAATTATTATGAGTAAACCAAATACTTTTTATTGTGTTTTGTCTGGGCATGTTCGTGTGGATACACGTGTGCATATGGAGGCAGAGGTCAGCCTTAAGGATGGTTCATTTGTTTTGAGACAGTCTTACTAAATAGCTCTTGCTGGCTTGGAACTCAACTTTGTAAACTCAAAGATCTGCTTGCCCCTGCCTTAATCTCCCACATGCTGGGTTTAAGGGAGTTTGCCATCACTCCCAGCTCTACCTTGGATTTTGAGACAGAATCTCTCACTGCCCTGGAATTTGTCAGTTAAGCTAAGCTACCTGACTGGAAGCCCTAGGGGCCTGCCTGTGTTGTCTTCTAAGCACCAGGACTACAAACTTAGACACCACCCTACCCAACTCTTCATATGAGCTCTAGAGACTGAGCTCCGTCATTGTGTTTTCATAGCAAGTCTCCCTGACCCCAATTTTAATTACTGAAAAAGACTGGACTTAACAGGTAACATCTTCAGTCCTTGGGTGTGTAAATACTGCGTAGGGTTACAGAAAAGAGATACTATTTGATATACAGTTAGAATTTGGAGGAGGAGAATTATGTATGGAACAAATAACGTTTTGGAAACTTAAAAGATTAGCAAAGCATATCACATCCAAGACTCATCTTGTTTATCTCTTCAGTCCTGTTTTGTATCCTACCCAAGTGTGACTTGATTTGCCTTAAACATCAGCCCTTGAGCCCAATCCCCCCCCCCCCCCATTCTCTAGAGCCTTGTGCTTTGGAGTCTTTGTTGATGACAGTCTTTAGTCAAAGCTTCATTATCTGCTAGGGATGATGATACAGCCTATAGTGCCAGCATTGAAGAGAAAAGCAGGAGAATTTGAAGACCAGACTAAATGTACGTAGCAAGAACTTGCCTCAGAAGAACGTCACCAATATACTTAGAATATGGAAAGTGTTTGTTAAATTGGACCTTTTATACCCTGCCAAAAGTCTACATTTCCCCCACTAGGCCCACTTTTTAAAAAGATATGAGTGCCTGCATTGTACCAGGCCTTGAGAACAGATAACAACAGTAGGAACTTTGTTTTTCAAGACAAGATTTCTCTATGTATCCCTGACTGTCTTGGAACTCACTTTGTAGACCAGGCTGGCTTCAAACTTAGAGATCCACCTGTCTCTGCCTCCCAAGTGTTGGGATTAAAGGTGTGGCCTACCACACCCAGTTTAACAGTAGGAACTTTTTAAGTATAATTCTATGAAAGAAACATACAGGGTCAAGTAGTGAACTTGAGAAGTATATGCTTTAGTCACAAATCAAGAAAGGTTTTCCAGAGATGAAGGGAAAGAAGGAAGTAGCTGTGTAGCATGGAGAGCAAGTGATGATGAGAAATGTGAATTGGTCCTGAAGTAGAAGCTAAAGGCTGGAACACTGAAAGACTTACATGTTTTGTAGAGCAGGAGAGAAGGACGAGGGCCCGTTATCTGGATTGGGGGGTGGGGGAGCTGGAGTGATGTGTTACTTTGATTACAGTGTGGGATGATGAGGTAGATGTAGCAAAACCACCAGACTGAAAACAGATAATCCACAAGAGTCAAGGTGGCCCAGAACAGTATTAAGCTAACAACAGGGAAAAGGGTGAAGTCCTCAAGAATGGGAAGTGGAAGTCACAGAAACATGACTCCAACTTCCACCTATGATTGGGGCCAGTTACTAACAGGAGGAGCTTAAAAGAAGTCAGATGCTCTATTTTGAATATTGTAGGCATGAGTTGAGGGCCACGGAAGAGATCTAAGCTGAAAATAAACTTTGTGAGTCCTAATCATAAAGCTTTAAGTCAACAAAGGCTGGAAAATGACAAGGAAGGGGCCCAAGAACTAAGCCTTGGGCATCCTCACTGTGGAAGCCAGGAAAAGTAATATTGAGGAAGTCAGCTGAGCAATTGGGGGAAAAGTCTCTTGGAGTTAGCCCAGAGGCCACTAGGCTATGGGCAGCATTTATTTGGGGGTCTAAGGAAAGGAATTTGCTGAGAAACATCTTGGTTTTGAGTTTTCCAAAGAAAAATACAGACATTAGAAGGGTATGTTTAGGTAGGGATGATGAAAGTTCAGTCATGGCACAAAGATAAAGAATATTCCAGGGTGATGAAGATTCTAGAAAACCATCTCAAAGTAAGGAATCTTGGAAGATGTAAGAAAGCCCAGTTAGTGCAAACAGAAAGTGTGTCCACTAGTGACACCACATCTCATGATTTCATTTCAGAAAAGGATTAACTGTTACCAACCCTGTGGCTTGCAGGCTGAATTTAGGGTGGCCATAAGCAGGTTCACCTCTGATGTCTTTAGAAGGCAGATGGGTGAAGGGAGAAAACAGGATAATCAGGAGTCCCATATGTGTGGAAGGAATTGTTGCATGGAGTGTGTAGGAACTGAAGGAGGGCTGAGGGAGTTGCGCATGGTAGAGCACACCTTTAATGCCTGTAGGTAGAGGCAGGTGGCACTGAGTTTGAGGGTATCCTGGTCTACATGTGAGTTCCAGGCCAAGGCCATGAAAGAAAGGACAGGAAGAATATGGGAGACAGACTTGGATCACATTTAAATAAACTCAGGGGGTGGAGGTAGGGGTGTGGAGACATCACTATTTTACTTACTCCCTAATAACATTGCACTCAAACCATTGCAGTTTTACTGATTCAAGATCAGAAGTTCTGTTCAGCTGTAAAATCCTGTGCTTTCTAAAGAGCCAGTCATTAACTAATATGCTTACATACCAAAGGCTTTTAATATCTAATAATTCTGAGTATTTGGCTTAGCACTTGCCATTTTCAAAGCACTTTACAAACTAGTTCTAAATTACATATAGCAGTAACATCTAAGTGCCCTAATTGATGTAATACAGGTTTGTGCAGTATCTCTGTAGAGAAGAAAAAGTGTCTACATAAAAAGGGATCCATTTAGTTGTGGCCCAGAGCATCCTGCATTTCAAGAAATAGGAAAGTACATCTTCTTTGGCCCAT